CGCCAGCATTGGGCCTGGTCCAGGGTGATGGTGGGGGGCGGGGGCGGGGAGGGCGGGGGGGGCGGGGGGCTGGGGGGCGGCGGCGGCCCCACCGGGGTCAGGTCCACGTCGGGGGTCTGGATGAACTCGCCGTCATAGTCGTAGGCTGAGGCAGAGCAGGTGCCGGTGGCCTGGGTGGCGTCGACAAACACGGACTGCGCGCTCTGGGTCAGGCTGGTGGGCGAGTAGGAGTTGCGGAACACCCCCGACCCCAGCTCAAAAGTGAGGTAGATGGGGTTGACGTGCCGGGCGGTGGTCACCACGGTCACGCATACCACTCCCCGCGCAGCCAGGGAGCAGCTGGCGGCGGCCAGCACGATGGGTGGCCCGTGCGGCGGCGATGGGCTGGGGGGGGAGGGCGGCGGGGAGGGTGGGGGAGAGGGCGGGGGGCTGGGGAAGGGGGTGATGGCCCTGGATGAGGATTGCACGATGCCGCCGTCGGCAGCCACAAACCAGGCGTAGGCCCACCCCGTGTCGTAGCTGCCGGGCGTGCTCCAGCTGAGGAAGGAGGTGAGCTGGGTGGGGACGGCGTCGGCCGTGCCCTGGGCGCCAGCCAGGTTGTATGTCACGTGGTAGCCGGTGGCAGGCAGGGCCGACAGGGTCACGCTGGCAGTGCACTGGATGACATTGGTGATGTAGATGTCATGGCTGGGATTTATGCATTGGATGAAGTTCAGCCGTATGATTGGGTTGCCCTGCGCAAAGATTGGGGCGGTGAGGGAGTGCGGTGAGTCTCGGTGGGGAGAGGGTGGTCGGAGGAGGAAATCCGTGGAGAGCTCCAGCACACGTACCTCTGCCTGCACGGCGGGGAGGAGCAACAAGAGGAACGACAGGCTGGCCACCCAGGCGGGCGCGAGCCGAGTGGCTGTCATTCCTGGCGAGCGAAGAGCATGATCAGTGGATCTTGAGGGCGAAGTTGCCAGCCTGCCTGTTACCGAGCCCGGCTCTGTCCCTGTGCCGGGTGTTACTGCTCGAGCTGGAGGGCTTTAGCCGCGCCAACAGGGAGCTGTCAGGGGACTTGTGAAGAATTACGAAGCTTTCTTGACTCTGGAGAGAAGCTGAAAGGCTGACGAATATTTATCACTGTACTGCGCAGGATTGGCAAGGAACTTTCCACCACCTGTCGCGAAGATAGCACACTGCTCCGGGACGCGTCCCCACATCCGGATGGTGGGCTGACACCCCAAGGCATTTGGAAGTTCCTCACCTGGCAACATACCACTTTGTGCTTGAAGTTGTATCCTGAAGGTGCATGTTGAGCGTCACGCTGAGGGCCCGCGTCCTGGAATCCAAGGGGGGGAGAGTCCGAGCCGGAACGTGGCTGGTCAGGACCGGAGCCGGGTCGTCCGCCGCGCAGACAGGGGAGAGCTGTGTGCCGACTCAGCGTGTGTCCTCGATCGGAACTGGGATTACACCCTAGCAGGTTGGGTGTTGTAGGCTCTTGTGGCGGTCCGCTCAAGCAAGCAACCTTGCCGGGCGTGCAGGGCGCAGACAGGCCAGTAACGCTGGGGAGTGGTGGGGGACACTCGTCATTCAACCTCTTTACTGATGCGCTGCGGCTTACAGTAACCAGTTGTCATGAGCTGTTACAGCAAAAACATGGGTAAGAACACACCCAGATACCATGTTCTAGGCGGCCGCACCAACATGATTGCACCCTCCACTACGAGCATTCCTGGCAGGGGGAGGGCCTTGTCGCTCCACAGTATGGCCTCGCTTCAGGCCAACTGGAGCCCGCTTGCAACACGTCCAGAGGGGGAGGTTAGGCCCTGTGCTTGGCTGGACCGTTCATCGACCATAGTACTCCCAATACGGGATTGATGGGCCCTCACCTCCGTCAGATCGACTTCGCGAGGCGCAAGAGGACCAATCCCAGTGCGGCCCGCACGGCGCTCACCCGGTGTCTGCTCGACTAGCGAGCTGCTGTACTAGCTCCACATGCCTGGGCAGCAGTAGCCTTGAACCACCAGACTCACAGCATCCCCGCCAGCTTGTGCACCTCGTACATGGGTTTGCTGCTGGGGAGCACCCTGTGACCATTCAGGGCCGCAACGGCTTTGACCCCGGCGCGGTACATGCCCTCCGGCCCTGCCGCACCAGGGAGGGAGGGAGCTCACGGGTGTGATCATGGCAGGGGCAGGGATTCAGTGGCACCCGCGGCTGTTCGCTGCACCCACCGTGACCCCTCAGAACCACTCGCCATTACGTCACAGCATCCCTTGCAATCCCCATGCCTCCTGCACCTGCCAGCAGCACATCAATCCGGGAGTGCAGCAGGCCCAGCTCCGCAAAGGCCTCGTCCATGGCCGGCCGTCGTGGGAGAATGGGGATCGAACCGTGCCCGGGCACCGTCAGGGTACCCATGTCCTGCGAGACACGATGTGGGGAAGGGCGGCATGGGGCTGATTCGTGCCTGAGTTGCATCCCCCCCCCGCCAGGGGAGGAGAAGGCCCCCACCTCGACTTGATGCTGAGAACTGCGCACGCGGCCCTTGGGGACATGCCCCCAAAGCCCAAAGCGCCGGCTCACCACTGAACAGCCTTCGCTAGAGTTGTACCCCCCGGCCAGCACCGGCACTCGAGCCAGGTCCCGGGCCTCCTCCTCGCCCGGATCGGCATCAGGTGGTGTGATGCGCCGCCACGGCCCCCCCTCGCCACAGCCTGTGATGGGAGCGGAGGTCTGGGATCCCTCAAAATTCCCTCCAGGTAGGACACCACAGCGCTCTCGTGGGTTCCTGCCATCGCCCCGGCGGGCCGCGCAGGCCTGCCCAGACCCACTGCGGTGGCGCCGTGCCGGCACCGCCCACCTGACGAGCATGGGGGGCGCAATGAGGACCGCAAAGGGCAGCCCCAGGCCCACGACGCAGAAGCAGGCGATGGCCGTCGCGCCGACCTGGGCGAGGATGGGGCAGCGGTGGCCAGGTGAGGCGATGGGGTGGGGGGGCGGTAGCCAGCAGCCGCTTCACGGGCGAGGCAGGGATGACCAAGACTTGGATGGTGGGTTCCCCGCGCAACGCTGCATCCTCCCCCTCCACTCCAGCTCTCCCATCGCTCCCTTGCGACCCAGCGCCCCCCAACCCCTACATCCCCTCGCCGCCACTCACGGTGCCGTACAGCTGGGTGACGTGGGAGCGGGGCAGGGCGCCACTTTCGCGCGCCGTCTGGGCCTCCGCCATCCAGCTCCACCCCAGGATCAAGCCCGTGAAGCCCCCCAGGAAGGTTATCAGGTGAAGGGCCATGAGGTGCAGGCGGCCCTGGTGGGCAGGCGGCAGCGGGCTGCGCAGGGTGTGAGAGGAGGGAACTTGGTGGTGGATGAGGAAAGGGGGGCAAGCCTCTACAGAGTGGGTGGTGGGCGGAGGCTCAGCAGTGATGAGGAGGCCTGCCGCATGCAGAGCAAGCCTGGCATTCTCAAAGCAAAGCATGGGTGGATGGGTAGGGGGAGAAGGAGAGGGGCCCTAGAAGACCTTTCGACGCTCCTCCCATTCTCTCTCACACAGTTCCCCAATGGCAACCCTCCCGGAGACCCCTTCCTCCTCTCCTCCCCACCCTGGATTCCTCCTCACCAGGGGTTCCTGGTGCCCAGGGGCGAGGCCGACACCGCGACCAGCCCGGTTTGAGGCTTGCGCACCGCCCTGTAGCCCGCGGCGGCCTCGCCCGACTGGCCTCGCCCGCGCCCTCGCGCCGGCTCCGGCCCCGGCTCGGGGTCGGGGTCGGGGTCTTGGCCGGCCTGCAGCGCCACCAGCTCCTCGTCCTGGGAAGAGCCGGCGCTGGGGGAGCGCCGCACCCCCTGCGGGTCGGCGCCGCAGTGGCGACAGCCAGGGCGCCGCGTCAGGTGCAGCTCCAGGGTCAGCCACCCGTCCCCCGCCCTGGTGTGAGCAGTGTGGTGTGTGTTGTTGTGGGTGGGTGGGTCGGTGAGTGATGATCAGTTGGAGGTCGAACAGGGTGGGAGTTGCAGTACAGGGACAGTGAAAGGCCCACCACCAAGCCCGTGCCCAATTGCTACTGGCGCCGTACTGCAACTCGCGCCCCGCGCTTCGAGTGCGGGGCCAAGACCAACAAGAACCACCCCTTGCAACTCACAGGGCAGCGGCGCCGACGACGGGGTCCAGGGCGAGGAACTCGGTGGCGTGGCGGGCTGCCCAGAGCACGAGCACACGGCGTGGGCCCTGGTGCCCAGAGCGCCGGGCCTCCACCAGGGAGCGCAGGGCGGGCATGGCCGCGGTGGCGGCGATGCCGCCCACCACCACGGCCACGGCCTCGGCCGCCGCCCAAGGCTCCGGCGCCGGCAGCGAGCGCGCCGGCAGGCTGGCACGGACCTCCAGCCGGCGGCCGGCGCCGGCGGCCGCCAGCCGGCGCAGCGCGCGCGTCCACTGCCCCTCGCCCTTGACGTGCAGCGTCAGCGCTCCGGGCGTCAGCCCCGCGGCAGGCGTGGCGCGGGCGATGGTGAAGGGGTGCCAGGCCCAGCGTGAGATGGCAGGGACCAGCAGGTGGATGTCACCCAACGGGCAGGTGGACTGCATTTTTTGGTGGGGAATTGAAATCAGGAGGGTGGGAGGTCGTGCTGGGGAAATGTACATGGCGGGAAAGGCGTTAGGGTGCAAGGTGTGCTGAGTGGCCCGTCGCTCATCCCTGGCGTTCAGAGTGTTGGAGGTCACAGAGAGGGGGAGCCCGAGATTGTGACCCACCCAGCGTGGAGGGGTCCCTGACAGTCCACCATCATCCCCGCCGCCACCACACCACGCCGCAGGGCCCTTGACCACACCTGGGAGTGCTGCAGGACCAGGGTCGTCACATCCTTCTCGCTATCCACGTCAGCAGACAGGACAGGCACCGGGGTCATGCCCATGCCGGCCCTCTGTACCAGGTCCACGCCCCAGAGCAGCAGGCCTTTTCGGAGAATAAGGGTGAGGGCATGGAGAGTTGGTGCAGGGTGGGCGGTGGGACCGAGGCCTTCTCATTTCCTTGTGACTCCCCCTCTGCAAGCTTTACTCCACACAGCATGCATCCTGCCGTGCTCCCGGCCCCTCACCAAACCCGACGCCGGCGCACCTGGGGTGAAAAAGCGCCATGCGCCCGAATAGTGGATGCAGCCCAAGACCATGAAGCCGAGGAAGCCCAGGATGTGAATGCGGTAAAAAAACTGGGGGGAAGGTAAGGAGCAACAATTGGCGGAGTTGTGAGACATAACGTATGAGATGCTGTAGGTGGATCAGCTGTCTGGCCGCCCTGCAACAACCGGCCTTTCCAACACTGTGCATCTAGCCACAGCATTCTGGATAGAGATATCATCAGGTCCCATGCCATTCAACGCCCCTCCATGGCACGACTCCTAGTCCTACTCACTGCCACGAGTGCCAAGCTCCGGAGCCCAGACACACCTGGTAAGAGCTGCGTCGGATGAAGTCCTTGGAAGCCCAGGCCAGCAGGATGAAACAGAGCCAGGAAAGGGTGCCTGCCAGGTTGTTGATGGTGCGGATGGTCCCCCAGTCCCAGAACTCCCTCCAAAATCTAAAACGCAGAGGTGAAGATGGGTTTGCATTGATGAGGGCGGCAGTCGATGCAGGACAGGCCCAGTACAGGAACCCATGGCCACCTGGCCCCAAACATGCAGCCAAGCCAGGGTCCTGAGGGGAAGGGACGGCAGAGTCTCACCCCTCGCACCTGCCGACAAAGCCCCAGTACGCGTATGTCACCAGGGCATGCAGCGTCAGCATGTAGAAAGTCACCAACCCCAAAAACCTGCAAGTGGCAGGGGATGCGAGGGGGTGCCTCTGCTGTGCTGAAGGGGCGCCTCGTAGCATGGCAGCCGGGCAGGGTGTCCCCTCGCATCCATGCCACATACAAAGCTGCGCCAGCTCACTTGTGGTATCGAATCATGGCTGCGTGGTCGAGTCCGGCGAGGTCCTGGAGGAAGGAGCTCCGGGGGATGGGCAGCAGGAGCAGGTAGACGTCGATGAACATGAGCACGCCAAACTGCCTCCCGGCGCTGTTTGGGGGAGGGGTGTGTGACTTGTCAACTCCACATTCCAGGCGGGGATCATCGTCCCGCGGCCCTCCATGGGTGGAAGGCGGGTCCCGCATTTCCCCACTCACACTTTGAAGTACATGTACCAAAGCGGGTCTCGGAAAACCTGGCCAGATTCTCGCACTGGTGATTTTGGTGGTTTGAACAGGATGAGAGCGAGCGGATGGGGGCAGGTGGGCAAAGAGTCTCAGAAGCGTCATTCCCCAAGCTGACTGAGACGGCAGCAAGACGGCCTAGGACCTCATGCAATCCCTCCACCCCCTGCCACCCACCACCAACCTACACTTCACAATTCGGGCATGCTGGGAGATCATTGGCGGAAGGAAGTACTTGGCATGCAGGGCCAGTAGTCCCATGCAGAGGATGACGTCCAGGATCGTGAGTCCATCGGACACCGCCAGCCAGAGCCTCGTCGGGGGGAGCTGGCGTTGCAGGAAAGAGCGAACCTGCAGGTGCCAGAGAGTGGGCCCCGCTGCTGCGTGGAACGGGCTTTGCACACGGACAAGTTTTGCGAGTCATATCGTCTGGCAAGCTGGCCAACGCATCCTTACCTTGTAAGTGTTATTGGTCCACCACTTGGGTCGGTCAACTGGTGCGAAGGCCGAGCTGGCGATGGTGAGGAGTGCGGCCAGGAGGAGTGGTCCCCAGCCGAGGACCAGCCTTCCACTGTTCCGACCAGTCCATGCCCAAACTTCAAACTCAAAGCCATACGGGTACCGGATTCCAAGCGTGGTATACCAAGAAGCTGGAATGTCCACGTACTTGGCAAGGCTGGCGAGCGACACCGTCAAGGCGAGCCATGCCAGGGCCCTCAGCCCGACAGGGGCCCACACCCGAAACATCGACATGCGGGCACGTCTCGCAGATGAGTCATCTCGGAAGGGATTGATCTCCACGCATGGCCCCAGTAAGTGTCTTGCGCGCTCTCAACATGCAACTTTTCTTGGATGGGCGTGCGCAAATCGCGTGCCGTCTGCCTCACCCGGAGAAGCTGAGGGAGGGGCCACTCTGGCAATAGTCCTAGACGTCATGGAGGTATGCCAGCGTCCCGACCCCCCATACCTAGAAAAAATGCAGCACATTGCATGTTATCGGATACTTCAGAGGTCGTTATTCGCCACATTGCCTTCGCGTGCATCATCTGTCGGGTCACGGCTCCATCAGTGTTTGGGGGTCCTGCACGCCATGACAACCCTACCATGGTGCCATAACGAGAACCTCGAGGAAGCTTTTCATGGAGTAAGCAGTCATACCAGTATGAGATAGTATACCTCGTTTGCGCAGTAGTATGATCCTATGTCAAGAGATTGGCTGGGCAAGAGTCTTGAGACAATGGGAAGGATGCTGCAAGCTTTGACTTATCAACTTTCTGAGGGAAGGTCAATGTGGATTCCGTGGTAGGGCGTGATGATGCGAGATTGAATGATGCGAACATTATTTCGGGTTTCCGCCATTGGTCGCCGGTATGCCACGGAGTCTTCCATGGCCAGCCCGTGTTTGAGCTCGTGAGATGAGCATCTGGATCAAAGGACACCAGCCTGCTTGTGCAGGGAGAAGTAGCCGCTCCCTGACTTGGGTCGGCCCCTGTTCAGCTCGGCCACCGCCTGGAACACAGATCTGAACATGCCATCAGGACCTGAGGGAGGGGGGTTGGGGTTTGCCGGAGGAGGATGTGTCTGTTTTGTGAGTCATGAAAGGATCTGGAAAAACCAGGGCAGGCAACGGCACACAGTCACTGCTGCCCAGAAACTGCATCGTGGGTCCACCTTCGTTTCGCAAGCGGCGACGGTCTCCTTTTGCTGGCAGGCCCAGGGGCACGTGAGCGGGGCCTTCACCACCTCCCACGCCGGCCGCACCTGACACCAGGACGCTGACGCTCTCGTGGGCGGCTCCCAGGGCGGAAAGCGCGGCGAGGATGGGGGGACGGCCTGGGAGGATGTCCACGCTGAGCTGGCTGGCCTTGCCATTGGGCACGACAAGCTTGCCGCCCTCCTGCACGGGAGTAGAGGGATGTGTGTGCGTCGACGAGACAGTTGTTGGATGGTCAGCGGCCTCTCAATCACAGGGTTTGGCTTGGAGGCATGCCCTTTCCCACGAGATCCCGGACACACCAGTAGGCAGGGCTGGAAAGGGGTCGCAGCCTCGTGGGGAGAGCCCATGTCGTGGGACAGGCTGCGTCTGGGCCCCAGCACGGTGAGCTCGAGGTCCTGCATCCGAGGTGTGTCAGACCTGCGTCCAGGCCGGGATGCCCAGGACCTGCAATGGTGGCTGGGCGGCGCAGGGTTGTGAGGGGTCGCATGGTTATGTGGCAGCATGCCTGTCCTGGCATGCAGGCAGCCTCGATGCGAGAGTGGGTGGGACTGCAGAAGACCCCAGGCCCACTGCGTTCCCCCTTTCCATGGCCAGCGCACCTCCACAGCATCATGGGCGCAACCAGGAGGATGTAGGGCAGGCCCAGCCCCACGACGCAGAACCCCGTGATGCCCAGCGAGCCAGCCTGAGGGAGCAAGGGAGGAGGGTGGTTTGAGAAGGTGCATGCGGTCACAAACTTGCCGAGGGCCTGGACACTCCGGGGGCACGCCTGGGAGGTCGGGACACCCTGCTCATGGGCGAAGTACACCAGAGGCAACCCCTCTCACCCTCCAGCTGATGGTGGTCACAAAGGGCTTGGTGACCTGCTTGGTGGCCAGCGCGGTCTGCGCCTCGGGCAGCCAGCTCCAGCCCAGCATCAGTCCGACGAAGCCGCCAAAGAAAGTGAGAATGTGGAGGGCCGCCAGGTACAGGGGGCCCATGTGGGCGGGGGCCAAGGGTCGGGGCGCGCGGGGTCTTGCCAGGGGCCAGGCACCGGACTTGGGGGGCGCCGGCGGCGTGCGCTGCTGGAGCGCCCCTGAACCCTCCGTGCTGTCGTCGTCGCCGTCCCCCGCCTTGCTCAGGCCCTTGCCCAGGCTGGACACCCGGCTGCCGGACTCCAGCCCCGCCTCCAGCTTGCACTCCTGGACGGGACTGGGCTGCGTCTGAAAGAGCTCCAGGGTCAGCCACGGGTCGCCAGACCTGTGTAGGTTTTTAGAGAGAGGTTGTGAGCGTTTGGTGGGGGGGGGGGAGGGTGGTATGGAGCCACTGCTCAAGGTACATTGCGATTGACTGGGGTCAGGAATGGGAAGAGCGCACGGGGTGCCCGGCTGGCTCCCTTGATACCCGGCCGCGGGCAGCGTGCATGGGTGCGGGTCCCAAGCCCCATGCAGCAGATGTGAGGCTGCACCGGTGGCGAGGGCCTCCACGACTGCCCTCAGCCGACTTGGAACCCGTCCCCGCCGTCCTTCCTCGGCACCCACGTTGCAGCAGCGGCGACTGCGGCGTCCAGGGTCAGGAACTCCGAGGCGTGGCGGGCAGCCCAGAGGACGGCGACGCGGCGGGTGGCCAGCGCCCCTGCCGCCCTCCTCTCTACCATCCGGCGCAGGGAGAGCATGACGGCCGTGACCCCGATGCCGCCCACCACCACAGCCACGGCTTCGTCCCCGGTCCAGGGCTCGTGAGGAGGGAACACCTGCTGGGGCAGGGTGGCGCGGATGGCGGCGTCCGGCCGGGCCAGCAGCAGGTCCGCCAGCCTCTGTGGGATGACATGGTTGGTTGTGAACAGAAGTGGGTGGGGATGGGGATGTCAGGGCGGCAGGGAGCTGGTGAGGACTTGCGGAATCCAGGCTGGTAGAAGCTTGACCGCGCTTAGTAGACCCGGTGACCTCCCAAGGCAGGCGCGATCCGGCGCTGCTTCCATCCTGTACCATCCTTGTTTCCCCCTTGCCAGTCCATGTGACTCCCACTCACACCATGTCGCCCCACTCAGCTCATACCTTGGTCCATGTCCCCTCATTCTTCACGTGCAGGGTGAGAGTCCCTGGCGCGGAGGGCTGGGCCGGGGTCGAGGCGGCGATGGTGAATGGGTGCCAGGCCCAGCGGGAGATGGCGGGGACGAGGAGGTGGATGTCGCCCAGGGGGCAGCCAGGCTGGTGTAGGCAAGGGCGTGAGGGAGGGGAGAGATGTGGTCATCCAAAGCACAGCGGGGGGTTGAACAGTTCAGACATGCACTTAAGAGAGGTGGGGTGCCGCCGCCCCCCCACTCCCTGCACATGCGCCTCCCAAGAGTAAAGGCCGCCCTTTCCAGCAACCGCCCCTCTCCACCAGGTGAGACCCACCCGTGCGTGTTGGAGGACCAGAGTGGTCACGTCCTTCTCCTCATCCAGGTGAACGGAGTGGATGGCGACATTGGCGGAGCTGGTCGAGGCGCGCTGCAGCAGGTCCACGCCCCAGAGGAGAAGGCCTATGTGGGGAGGGAGGGGGCTGTGAATGTGTCCTCCCACTTGGGGAGCAATTCCGCAAGCAGACCTGGAGCGATGTGTCTCTCGGTAGCCGGGTCATGTCCCACATTCCGAGTCATGTCGCTCACCAGGGGTGAAGTAGCGCCACGATCCGGAGTAGTGCATGCAGGCCAACACCATGAAGCCCAGGAAGCAGACCAGGTGGAACCTGTAAAACCACTGCGCAGGTGGAGGGAAGATGTCCCAAATGAGAACGAGGAAGGTTGAACGGCACGGCCGCTGGCACAAGAACCTCACCATTCCCAAGATGCACGAGAGGCGGGGTTGGACATGAGAGGAGCAGTGCTGCCGGCTGCACAGCTCCTCTCCCCTGAGAATTAGCCATCCCTGTCCCCTCTACCCTCCCCTCGAACCTCAGACCTTGTCCCCCACACCTCGTAGCTCTTGCGACGGAAAGATTCCCGCGCAGTGAGGACTAGCCCGCACATACAGAGGAAGCTGAGGGTCCCTGCAAGGTTGTTGATGCTGTCCAGGGTGCCCCAATCCTTCCACTCCACCCAGAACCTGTGGGGTCCCCCATGCATGAGGACATGTCGAGCCAGTGGGACACGACGGGAAAGCCCCACACCCATGGCGCCGCCGGAACAAGGGCCCCACTTCCCAGTCTGGTCCAAACAGAGCAACAGCCTGGGCAATGACTGTGCTCGCATCGCCTCCACACCAGCGATCCCATGCTCCAGTGGCTGGCTTCTTGTTCTCCCCACCATATGCAGCTCCGCACGCCCATGTCCAACATCACTCACTCGTGGCTCACTCCCCAATAGATGTAAAACATGCCGCCATGCAGGGCCAGCACCCAGAAGCACCACAGACCCAGGAACCTGAGCGGGTGGTGTGGGACGCAGGGTCTGCACGCCGGATGGTCCTCATAATGGATGCATCCCAGGAGCCGGGGGAACAGCCTCGTGCGCGCGCACGCATCCAGAACAGACAGGCACACTTGTGGTAGCGGATCATGGCCTGCTGGTCCAGGCCGGTGAGGTCTTTAAGAAAGGAGGAACGCGGAATGGGCAGGAAGAGGAGCCAGAGGTCGATGAACATGAGCTGGCCAAACTGTGTGGAAGCCCTGCGTGGGGGACGGGGCAAGGGCTGCATCGATGAGGTCCTTGGGGGAAAGGAAAGCAGTGCCATCTTCTTCAAGGATGCAGCTGAGCTCAGGAGCTGCCCTTGAGTGCAGATTAAGATCCATGGAACAGCTCGAGCTGTCAGCCAGGGACCGGCAGGAGCATGCAACCCTTGTGATTGTAGTGTTCCAGCACTCACTCTTTCAGCATGAGCATGGACTTTGACTGCTCCTGCACCTCTCCTTTGGCGATTGCTGCAAAGGTTATGTGCAGGGAATAGATGTGAGAGGTTCATTTCATTGATATGGGTGAGCACGGGAGCAATGCCGGAAGCTGGGGAGCTTGTGCTGGAGCGTGGTCATGGGGATGCAGGAAGCCTCTGGAAAGGGCAGGGTCCCATCAGCAGCAACGTACAAGAGAAGCCACCAGCTCACATGCATCCAAGTCGTTGCTCTCCAGCACCAGAGCTCTCGCAAAGTAGGCGACGTTGAGTGCGAAGAGAGCACAGAAAAGCATGAGATCAAGCACGCTGAGACCGTCTGTCAGTCTCAGCCAGATCTTGGAAGGTCCAAGCTGGTACTGGAGCGATCTCCGGACCTGTGTAAGAATGCCGGAATGCTCGGCCGTCAACACGCCGACTCTCTGGTGCGCATCAAGTGCCATTGGACATCGAAACCTGAAGAGACAACCGCCACGCATGATCATATGCATGGGAATACGTGCCTTGAGCATCGAGCGCCGCCACCACTGGGGCGCGGGTTCTGCTCTGATGCAGGCGCTGGCTAGCATCGCCAGGGCCCCGAGCAGCAATGGCCCCCAGAGCAGTATTGTTCGCTGAGAGTTGGCACCAGTCCATGCTGCGACGTTTTGCCCCTTTCCGTAGGTATAGGGAACCGCCAGGGCCGCTGTCCAGGCGGTGGGAACTTTCAGCCATCTGGTTAGGAGGCCCACGCACATGGCGATCAGGGCAGCGGAGGCCGAGCATTGCAGAGCAATGGGCGTCCAGATCCGGAGCGCCATCGTGCCGGGTGCACCACGATTCCAGCTTGATTGTTTGTGGATAGGTCATCTGTGCATCGTCCCGCAGATCAAGTAGGGCATCCTGCCAAGGGTTCAGCGCACGCCTGTCGTGTGGCCCATGTGTAACCCTCCCAGGGAAGCCCCCAGCCCGTCTGGCAGAACGAGCATGTAGCCAGGTCTGGGTGTGCCCACAAGCCTCCAGGAAGATTTTAACACAGCCCAATTAGCCAGGAAAGCTGGAATGTGTCGCTCAATGGGCCTCCCTGTCAGGGCACGCTTGAGATGCCCGGAGGAACGCGGGTCGGACCGCGAGGCGCAGGACTTTCCGGCGAGAGCCGAGGGACTTGTCCGACTTCATCATGCTTTACTACCTTTCTAGAATATTTCCCGTTGTCCTGGATTCACCACCCTCGAGCTTCGCCGCCGCGCCGATCTCGGGTGATTCATCAGGGGATCTCTCATCTCGCGATCCCGAAGATGGTGGGTACGCGCATGACACTCGCGGCACCTGAGGCCCCCAGCATGAGCCCAAAGTCACCATGGGTGGGGATAAAAAAGCAAACATGTTCAATGACGGGCAATCAACAGCAGGCAGCACGCAGTCGCAGCAGGAAGGGTCCCTGCATGCTCTGCATGAGCGGGGAAGATCTGGCAAGCCCCTGGGTCCATGGGCCGGCATCGCCAGGCGCTCCGCCCAATACATTGGCTGGTGATCCTCCTCTCTGACCCGCTCAGTACGGCCTGAAACGCTGGGAAGAGGGATTGCCGCCCCCCCTCTGGGAGGGGCCCCCTCCGATGTTTGCCCGTCCATACCCGCTGGGTCCGCGCGAGTCCTGCCGCCCCTCCCGGCCGCCGCCCTGGCGCGGCTGTCGGTCCCCGCCCTCGCCCCTCCGTCCCTGAGGCTGCCCCTGCCCGCCCCAGTTGGACGAGGAGGGACCCCCCGACCAGGGACCATCGTTGCCCTGGCCGGCCGCGCCGCCACCGCCTCGGTTCAGTGCCGCCGGGGAGGCCTCGCCGGCCCCGCGCCCCGAGCCGCCGGGGTTTGCCGCTTCCGTGCCTGCTGAGTCGGAAGGAAGGAACCCCTGAGTCCCTGTTCAGTCAGTGTGGGGAACAGCTCCATGGCATGGATCCAGGGCATCCTCCTCTGGCAAGTTGCATGAGCGGCGATGCACAGAAAACTCCCCTCCTCACCTCCCGCCGTGGACATCATGGGTCCAGGGCCAAACCCTCCCATCATCATGGGATGCCCGGGCATCATGCCGCCCTGGCCCGGCATCATTGCGCCAGGCATCATGCCGCCCTGGCCCGGCAGCATTGCGCCAGGCATCATGCCGCCCTGGCCCGGCAGCATCGCGCCAGGCATCATGGCGCCCGGCATCATGCCGCCCTGGCCACCGCCCATGCCAGGGAACATGCCCATCATGCCGGGCATCATGCCGTACATGCCCATGCCTGGCATTCCCATGAACGCCGCTGGGTGCATCTGGGCCATTGCCAGCATGGCTGCAGGAAGGGGGAGGGCGAGGGGGGCATGTGGGCGGACTTCAGGGCCATCCAGCCTCCGCCCCACCCCTCATCCAAGCAAGGAGAGGGCACGCGGTACCATCTAACCCTGGCCACATGCCCACCACCCGGCAGCAGTCCAGGAGGGGCCCCACCCACCTGATGGGTCAGGCATGCCCATGGGCATCTGGCCCTGGGACTGGGGACCAGCCTGACCAGCAAACATGAGTGGCCCCGGCGGAGGGCCTCCAGGTCCTGTGTTTCGTCGTCAGAAGGGAGGGGTGTGCCTTGAAGGCTCCATGCACCAGCGCCAAGGGGTTCCGGACGCACCACCCCACTTCCGTCTCTCTGTGTAGCTCCCCAATGTTTGGCACCTCCTAGGAGCCACACTCGCCCCCTTCCGGTGCGTCGACCTCTCGGGCCTCTCCCAATCCCCCCGCCGCCCTTTCCACCCTCCACAGCCTGCACTCCCCAGTTCAAGAGCGTGCTCACCTCGTCCCTGGTCACCGGCGCGGCCTTCGCCGCCGCGCTCGCCCCCGCCGCTGTCGCGGGGGTGGGCGCGGCGCACCTGTACCTGGCGCCCATTGAGGGTGTGTTGGCCCAGCAGGCACTTCTCCACGCTCATCTCGTCATCAAAGGTAACAAAGCCATAGTTCTTGCTGGACCCATCAGGCCTGCGCAGGACCTGTGGCAAAGGGGCATTGTTTCGGAGAGCAAGGGGTGTTGGAAAGGACAGGAAGTGGTGCGCCCCCGGGGCCCCCGGCCGAGCATTGATGGAGTGTCGACGAAGCAGGGAGCTGACCCCGAAGGTCCCATTGGCTGGGCAAACAACAAACAGAGTGCGCCCAAAAGGCGGGGGAGGTGGATCAAACACGGCGGTGGGTGCGCGGCTGCGCCCACAGAAAAGGGCAGCGCACCAAACCCTCCGAAGGCAGGGAGGAGAGCAGAGGAAAGCTTGTAACAGGTGTGAGCGTACCGTGCAGGTTACCGCATTGCCAAACTGGGAGAAATAGGAGGCAAAGGCTTCATCTGAGACGTCGCCGATGCCGCCCACAAACCTGCAGAGATACGAGAACGAAAGCAGGCAGGGCTCAAAGGGCAGGCGGGGGCGAGAGGGGGTGTGTGGAAGTGGGAGGGTTGGCTTGCAGAGCCTCAGCTTGGTAGGAGAGCGGAGAGAGGGGTTGAGGCAGATGTAGGGACAGCTTCAGAGGGACGGCTGCAGCACCACTCCCGGCACGGCTCTAGCAGGAGGCCTCACATCACACGTGGATCAAGAGCTTCCACACCAGGCATCCTTTCGAGTCCTCCCAAGGCTGCTGTCTGCTCCCTTCTGGGATGCAGATCATACGCATCTCCAAGTCCTCTCTACCTACATTTTCTTTGTGAGCTTGCTTCCCCCTTGATCTTTTGGCACAGCGGCCTTGGCCTCTGCCACCTTGCCGTCCAGTTCATGCTCCCGTTTCTGCACGTTGACGCGTTATAGAGGGAGCATGAGGCTGCAGTTGAGGGCCTGCCACCGCGGTCATGTCGCCCTTCGCTTCTCAACTTCACCCACCTCCAGGAAGCTCCGAGCGCTGGCGACGTCCTCGAAAGTCACAAAGGCGTAGCCTTTGCCGGTCATGACGTAGGCGTCTTTAACATGTCCCCTGTAGCGGGTTCGCAAGAGGATCCGGTGTGCTGAAAATGGGCTGTAGGTTGGGCTGATCGAGTCTCAAGCCTTGCCACACTGGGTCCTGACAAGGCAGGAGCTCACCATTGCTCCGCGTATTCCCGCAAGCCCTCGGAAGTGGTCTGATTCGACATTCCGCCTAGAAACACCTTGCCGGGAACGAACTGAAATTTGGAAGGGGCCAGGGTTGACAGGAGTTGGTGGGCCTGGCACCGTTGTCGTCACGAAAGTCCCACACTGGACCTCGTCCCAACTGACAACGCACCTGATTCTCCCTCTGGCCTGTACCTCGCGTCCCAGCACCTGAAGACGGCGCATATCGGCTCGTGTCCATGGGGTCTGCATGTGAGCCACCGTACATGGCGACACCGTGGAGAGACGCAGAGTGCGCAGCCGGGCAAAGCGCCGCGCTAGACACTGCCTCTGAAAGTTGGGATGGAGACGATATCTCGGGAGTGGGTCGTGCTGATGCTCATCCCATGCTTGATGGCTCTGGTGTTCCAGGCCGGGCATGTCGCGAGCAACCGGGCGAACAGTGGAAAGTTGGAAACAACGGTCGACAGTCGCTCGCCATGGGCCTCTCGCATGAGGACAGCCTCGCAGGCGTGACCACCACTCTGACGCCAAGGATGGCCCGATCATGACCGGTCTCGAAGCATTGAAGCTCTCCGGAGCCATGATGCCGAACCCCGCCCGGCATGGGAGGGGGGCTGCCAGGCCACCGAGTCTTTCCTCACATCAAGGCACCCTGCACTTGGCATGTTCCCATGCCACCGGCTTCCGGGACGCCAGAGCCTCCCCGGGTGCATCAAGTCATCCAAGGCCCTCCCATGCCCACGCACCTGGGCGGTGCAGGGCCCTCGCCGCCGCCAGCGCCGAGCCCGCCCCTGCGCCGCCCCTGCCGTCCTGGCAGGCGGGCACCGCTTCCCACACCTGGACCTGGCGGGGCAACAAGGTGTGCTACCTCGCCACCGACGCCCCCGGCCCCGCCATCCTGCTGGTGCACGGCTTCGGTGCCTGCTCGGCGCACTGGCGGGCCTGCATCCCGGCGCTGGCGGCGCGCGGCTTCCGCGTCTATGCCCTGGACCTGCTGGGCCACGGCGGGAGCGACAAGCCGCCGCTGGCCTACACCCTGGAGCTCTGGCGCGAGCAGGTGGCGGACTTCCTCGGCCAGGTCGTGGCCGGTCCGGCGGTCCTGGTGGGCAACAGCATCGGCAGCCTGGTCAGCCTGATGGTGCGCCAGGGGGCGGCAGCCTGGGACGTGCCCCCCCTTCAGTCTTGTCCGGAAGGGTGGGGTGGGGTGTGCACTCAAAGAGGGACACGGCACGGGGCCGCGGCGGTATGATCAGGTGCATTCCGGAAGAGTGGGCCGCCATTCCCATGGGCGGGGCCTCCATCTCAGGGTGGCCGAGGGACCCTCGCGCCCTGCACCAGGGTCCGTGCACGACTGGCCCTTCCCCCATTCCCCTCATTCCACAGGTGGCTGCGCAGGCGGGGCCGGCCGCGCCACCCGTCCACGGAGTGGCCCTCGTGAACTGCGCCGGCGGCCTGAACAACAAGGCGGTGTCGGAGGACTGGCGCGCGCGCGCCGCGCGCCCCCTCTTCCTCCTGATCGACGCGCTGCTGGCCCGGCGCCGCGTCGCCCGCTGGCTGTTCGACAAGTACCGCAGCCCGGAGAACATCCGGAGCATCCTGCTGGTGGGCCAGTGTTGTTTTCATGGATGGAGTTCAGGGGAGGATGGCGGACGGGGCTGCGCAGGGGGTGGGGGAGGGCCTCAGCAGATGGTGCTCACCCCGAAATTTCCACCCCCCTTCCCCCCCTTTCTTGTTGCGCAGAAGGTGTACAGGGACCCGGCCTCCGTGGACGACGAGCTGGTCCAGATGCTGCACGCCCCCTCCTGCCAGCCGGGGGCACTGGAGGCCTTTGTGTCCATCATGAGCGGGCCGCCGGGGCCCCAGCCCAAGCACCTTGTCCCGGACATTGGGTGCGGGGGAAAAGGGGGGGGGTTTTTAGGAGATCAAGGACTGTGGGGTGACACTGCACCGCGTCGATCGTGCCTCGTCGCAAGGCACGAAGATTTTGCGCCGTGCCCTCTCGCCTCACCACCTGGCTCCCCCCCATGCCCTCAGCTGCCCCCTGCTGGTGTTCTGGGGCACGGCAGACCCTTTCACCCCGCTGGCGGGGCCGGTGGGCAGGTACTTCCAGGCCTTGCCCTCGCTGCGGCCGGGCACGCGCTTCGTGGGCGTGCCGGGCGCAGGGCATTGCCCCCACGACGAGACGCCGCAGGCCGTGCTGGCGGAGCTGCTGCCCTGGCTGGAAACCGTGAAGACCACGACCCAGGCTGTGGCCTGAGCAAGTTCAAGTCTTATTGTCAGCCAGCCTGGCAGGCCATCCAGCATGGTAGTGGGCAGCTGGGACCTAGGGGGCAAGGCCTTCTTGACCCAGACCCCTGGGGTCCTTCCTTGACACTCCAACCACTCTCACTGTGCATCGTCGTGGAAAAGCTCGCAGAAATGGTACAAGGCCAGCACAAGGAGGTTGAGGATGGGAGAGCGGCACAGGGGCCCCACGCATGCCTCCTTGCCAACCACCCGCCAGGGTCAAGTGCACGCCTCACTCGTCGCCCAGGGCCAGCTCGATCGCAAAGTCGTCGCGCAGGATGCTGCCCGAGTCCAGGTCGGTGGCTTGCTCCTGGAAAGCGCGGCCAAACTGCAGGTCGTACACCTCGTCCTCGGGCACGGTGCTGAGCACCAGGTCGGAGCGCGGGTAGCCCACACACATGAGCGCGTAGCCCTGTGCGCAGGAGGGGGCAGGGGCGGGTGGTCGGATGGAGGGTACCAACTGCACCCGGAATTACACACACAACGCCTGCAAGCCCAGAGTGCACAGGCGCCCCGCCACCACCCGGCCTCGCCTGGTCCTTCAGGCCCTGGCTGATGCCCAGCGACTGGGGCTGGTACAGCTCCCCGCTCTCCACCTTGACCGCACACGCGGTGCAGCAGCCCATGCGGCATGCGTAGGGCAGCTCCAGCCCCTGACTCTCGGCCTCGTACAGGATGTATCTGTTGGGGGCGGGGGAGGGAACATGGAGCACAGCAGCGGGTCTGAACGATGCAGCCTCTTCCCAAAAAAGAGATGCACGCCGCTCACATCGCACGCTGGCCTTCCCCTCATGCGCCCCTGGCTGCCGCCGCACCTGTCCTCCGGCACCTCCACTTCCACCTCCTGATCGGCGTAGTGGTTGTGGATCTTGACAGAGTGGCGGGGCGCCTTGCTGACAGAGGGGCCCTCCCCAGAACCCAGTCCCGCCGGCAGGCCCAGATGCGCCGCGCGGCCACCCTGAGCGGCGCGCGAGGGGAGGGAGGTGGGGGTAGTGAGGGAGCAACCGGGTGGACATCGACACTGCAGGCCTCATGAGCCACACCCTTCCCTAGCAGGGGCATGCATCCCACGCACAAAAAAACAATCCTCCTTTCCCCACCCACTATTACGCACCACGAGGCGGGACCCAGAGTTGAACTCGTCCTCCACCCAGAGGTCCACATAGCCATTCCGCTCATTCCTGTGCAGTGAATAGGGAGGTGGATGGGCGAGGCTTAGACATTCCATGAATAAATTCAAATACATCTGACCTGATAGGGACGCTGCTCTCGGCTCGCTGGGCACCGGCCTGACAGCGACCGCACCTCTTCCTCCACTCCTCGGTGGTCAGGCTGGAGATGCTGGAGTGCCGCTCCTGCTCCTCGGCAGAGGTCGACGCCTCGTCCATCTGCAAGGGAGCAGGTAAGCTCTGTGTAACATTACAAGGCCCATGCCGGTCCCAACTAATGACCAGCTCGATCCCATGGACCGTCATGAACCGCCCACCTGAACAGGCCGGTCTCCGCTCCCGACGGTCAGCCCGATGGGGCCCAGCAGGTCTCCCAAGCCGATGCCTCGCCTCTGAGACGGACTAGCATCTGTTTCATGCTTTGCTGGGGGCCCAGCTGCGACACTGGAGGACGAGCGACGGTGTTGTATGTGGTTGGGAGCTCGAACTCGGGTGCACGGGGACGGCAAAAGCCGCTGATGAATGGAGAGGGACAGGGACATGCTTGTACGTAAGTGGGTAAATTTGAAATTCTGGCTCACGACCTCTCTGCTGCGTGTCAGATATCTTTGACGCATGCCAGTGCAAGATCTACTCATGGTGCCGTGACGCACGTGGATAAATCGGGGTTTCCACCCAAAAAATGCGAACTGGTGTGGTTGCTCATTCTGCCAGCTACAACACCTGCCAACCCCGGCCCCCGGGCGAGGTGTTGCTACTCACGGAATTTCCTGAATCCCACACTGTAGGGGGAGGGCGTGACGCCCTTGGACAGGCCCTTTCCATGGCTGGGCGGAGTTTGGGGTGGGCCCGACCTGTCACTCCGTAAGCTGTCCGCCGATGGACCAACATACCATGCCATTATGACATAGGGGTCCTCTCAGTGACAACATTGCCTCAACATGCTGAGTCTGCGGCTCCGACCGCGCCGGGGGCCGTGCGCTTAGGTCTGCCAGGCCCCTTTGTCGTGCTGGAGGCCCACGGTCTCCAGCGGCGACCCGGTGAGCAAAGTCCTGTACGGGAGGGTCAGCCTCCCGGGATCCTGATGCGATACCTCTCGTTGTGCAGGCATGCACGCCCCTGACCACCTGGCTGCAAGCGACTGATCAGATGTTGTGTCCTTCCCATTTTCCAAACACAATGCAGGCCGGCCTCTGCACCCTGCAGGGAGGCCTGCCTGGCCCCACTGCACGAGGAGGGTCGCTACACATGATGCGTCCTCCTCAGCTGACGGCGATGGCCCCCCTCCGCAGCCGCCCTCGACCATCTTGCGCAGCTTGCAAGGTCTGGCTGGGAGGGGAGGTGCCCTCTGGTCCCAGCCGGGTGCCCCTGAGCGGCAGACTCTGCATGATCACTCGTGCATCAGTCCTGAACAGAGTCTTGCCTGGTCTATACAGCGCCCGGCCCCCCTCCCTCCAATCCCCTTCCCCTCCTCGCCCTTCCAGGCCTCCTGCACCAGCCCGTGCCAGGGTTCCCAGGGGCCTCGCTGGCGGCGCTGCTGGACCGAGTGCTGGCCCTGGCGGCCCGCGTCGCCAGGGCCTGCACTCTGGCCCTGGCCCTACTGGCCGCCGCCTGCCTCCCCGCGCAGCTCTGGGCGCGGCCCGCACTGCAGGCGCGCCTGCTCCCCGTGGCCGGCCAGGCCGCCACGCGGCTGCTGGGGCGGGAGTGTGACCCTGGCGCCCTGCAGGCCCTGCTGCCCACGGGGTTGGTGGGCCTGGGGCCGCTGGCGCGCCTGGGGCCACTCAGGCTGGGGCCGGGGGCCACGGAGGGGAGCAGCGCGGCGATCGAGAGCCTGGACGTGCACCTGGACGCGCTACGCACGCTGCGCGAGCGGCGCCCCGTCCTGGGGCTGCGACTGAGAGGGGCGCAGGTGAGGTGGATTGGCTGGGGGTGGCGCTTGTTCATACTCTTGTCAGAGGGGGTGGGGGCCATGGGCGGGTGGCTGGAGCGCCGTACATCCAGACGGCTTGGGTGCGCGATCGTGGCCCGCCCGTCTGCGAGGGCAAAGCCCCCAGTGCCCCGCTGTTTGACCTCCCACCAGCTTCTTCCCCTACCCCCGCCCCATGCAGATTGACGTCGTGCAAGGCCCCAACCTGAGCTGGTTCGGGTTTCCAGAGGACACCAGCCCCTCCGCGCGCCAGTTCACGCCCGGCCTGGGGAGCCGGACCGGCCCGCCGGGCGGCCGCGACGGCGGTGAGCCCGGCGGCGGGGAGCCAAGCGCGCCCGGCGGCGGAGAATCGAGCCCGCCCGGCCCCTCGCCCCTGCCCCCGCCCCCACCGCGTGCCGACCCGCAGCGTGCCCTGGAGGGCGCCGCGCGTGCCGTGCTGTCGAGCCTGGCGCAGGAGCTGCGGCGCCTCGCGCTGGTGGGGACCTCTAGCGGCGGGCGCCTTGGCGATCAGAGCTCTGCAAGTGGTCTCGTGTACGACCTGGCGGGCGCCCCGCCCTGGGCTGCGGGGCCCTTGGGCGCCGAGCCGTGGGCGACGGCGCTGGACCTCGCTGCGGCGGTGAGGGGCCCAGGGCGTGCGGAAGCCGCAGCCGACGCGCCCGCAGGCGCGGCGCACGGCGCCACAAACGGCGCATGTGGCGCGGCAGCGGCGCTCAACGGGCTGGCCCTGCGCGGCGACCCCCGGGACATCGTTAACCGGGGTCAGAAGCCGGGGCCCCTGGACGCGTGGACCGGCGGCGCCGTGCGCCCGTCGCCGAGGCCGGGGAGTGCTGCTGAGGTCCTGGGTGGGAAAGAAACGAGCGGCGCGGGGCAGGCGAATCCTGCTGCGACCGAAGCCGGGCCCGCTGCAGACGGACGCAGAGGCAAACGCCGGCGGGGTTCAGCAAAGCGAGACACGCATACGCTGGCGCTGCCCCGCACGCTGCCGCCGCGCATGGTGGCTGGGGACGTGGCGCCTGGGCTGGCGCGCTCGGGGAGCGGGCGCCTCGTCACGCTGGGGGCCCCACAGGAGAGGGAGAGGAGCGGGCGATCGGGTGCAGGAAAGGGTGGCCGGCCGGCGGGTGGCAGGGCGGTCAAGGAGGAGCCCCGCCCAGAACCCCCTCTCGTCGCGCCTGCGAGCGGCGAGGCTGGGCCGAGCAGCGGCGTGGCTGCGCGGCAGGCCGCCCGCCCCGAGCCCAGCGCCCCAGACTCCGGCCCCACGTCAAGTGCCCTGACGCGCAGGCATGAGCCGGACCTCGGTGTGCCCGGGGCCGACGGCGCCGCGCAAGACGCTCCGACGCGCAAATCCGCCGCCGTGCGCTCCGCAGCGCTGCTGCGGTCGCGCCTGGCGCCCCTCCGCGGGGCCCCCGCCCAGCGCATGCAGACCGGGTCGGCCGCCTTCCGAGACCTGGTGGTCGACCCCTGGACTCTGCGGCGAAAGGGTGGGCCGGGGCCTCGACGGTGCTGGAGGGTGCATGTGTGGGAGGCTCGGGGGGGGGCGGGGTGGAGAGGAGCGACGCCACCTCGTCCTCCGCCTGGAGCTTGGGTGGTAGGGTCCCATGGCTTTCAGGCTCACAGGTTCCAGCCCTAGGACCCCTTTCCCACTCCCTCACCCACCTCAACAGAGAGGAGCGGGCCGCTGTCGCCCGGCGCCCCGACCAAACCAGGTGTGCCTGCTCCCGGGCAGCTCGTCCCCTCGAGCACCGTGGGGGCCCCGTCCGCCAAGGATGCCACAGCCCCCGGCGCCGCCCTGCCAAGCGAGGACGGCGGCACCGCGCCGCTGTCCCTCGCGCCACCCCCCCTGCACCACCACCACCTCCACCACCACGCCGCCGCCGCCGCTGCACGGGAGGGAGGCGCTGCGGCGGCGGGCGGGCAGTCGTGGCGGGGCAGCGCAGCGGCCCCGCTCTACACCCCGGCCCCCAGCGACGGAGCTCGCGACGGGCGTGAGTTTGTGTGTGGCGAGGAGGGAGAGGGGGGCCAGGCCGTGGGGAAGTGGGGAATGCCAGTGGAGTCAAACCGCGGGCGCCACGCGGGCGCAGGAGTGCACGGAGATCGGCACCCAGTGCACCCCTCCGCGGCGTGGCTGCGCCGGCGCCACACGAGGCGGAGGGGCCAAGGAGCACGTTGGACCCCTGCACGGGAGAGGGGTCTGGGCAACACTGACGGGTCTTCAGTGGTTGCCATCACCCTCACTTCTCGGATGCATCTCTGCAACCCCGCCACCTCATGGACCCTTCTCCCCACCGCCCCCCGCACCCCCGACACACACCTCAAACCCACAGTGCACATGGCCAGCGGGTGGCTGCTGGACACCCTGTCCCGGCCCCTGGCCTCGCTGGCGTCCCGGGCCGCGCTGGGTTCGCTGGACCTCCGCGCGCACAGCGTGCGCCTGCACGTCTCGGGCGAGTCCCCCCCCCGCGTGCTCGACGACGTGCGGGCCTCCGTCCGGTTTGACCCCGGGCACGACGGCGTGCACGTGGCCCTGCGCGGCGCGCCCCGCGCCCGCGCCCGCGCGTCGCATCGCTGGACCAGGGTCGCGCCGCGCGCGCCCACCCACCTGCGCGACGTGACGGGGCGGCGCGCGGCCGCGGCGCTGGCGGCCGCGGCCGAGGCGGCGGGGCCCGAGGCCGCGCTGGCCGCCGCGCTGGACGTGGCCGGCCGCGCCGCCGAGATCGGGTCGTTCGGTGTCGACGGGGCGCGGGCGGGGTCGTCCGCCGGCGCCGGAGCGGCAGGGACCGGGCCGCGCGCAGGCGACGCCGGCTCCGCGCCGGGGCGCGGCACCGGCGGCGCGCTGTCGGTGCGGGTGGACGTGACGGGCCTGCTGGCGGGCATCCCCACGCTGCAGGCAGCAGGGCAGGCGGCGGCGGCGGGGGAGCCACCCCCCGACGCCGCACTCACGCCACAGGACGCGCCCGCGCCCCCGTACCCCGCGCTGAGGGTGGCCGTCGGCGGGGCGGGCCTGCACGCGCCGCTGATCGAGCGACTGCTGGACCTGCCCCTGGACGTGTACGACGGCTGGGTGCGTGGGCGAAGAGAAGGGGCTGGGGGTGTGAGCGGGGGTGGCTCGAGGCCTCGCGCCATGCCGACGCAGGAGCCTGGTCGGGGCCTGGAACCGGGCTCGGCCGCGCTGGCGAGGGGAGCACCCCTGTATGATTCCATCCAGCGCCAACCCTCACGAAGCGGCGCCCCCCTCCCCCCCCCCCGCCAGGCCGATGGCGAGCTGAGCATCGTCGCGGACGACGCTCTCTCATGGCGCAGCCCGCGCTTCGACGGCCGCGTCCGCGTCAGGTGGGCAGATGCATCGCGGGCGGGCGGCAGGGGTGCGGGGCGCCTGCCCATGTGCATGCGCATCGCTTGCCGGGCTGCGCCCCCCCCCCCCCGGGGCGCGGGTGCCTCTCACCCAGTCCCTGGTGTGCACCCTCCCGGCCCTCTCCTCCTAGCATGCTGCACCTCGGGACACACGACTCCATGCCCAAACCCCACGCTCCAGGCGGGGCGCCTTCCACTTCTGGGACGCCATGGACGCGCTGACGGGCGCCGAGCTGGATCTGGTTTTCGAGGAACGGCGGCTGTTCCTGTACGGCGCCGCCGCGCGCTTTGGCGCCCTGCCCCTGGAAGCCACTGGGGACCTCGACCTGACGCCCCGGGGGGGCCAGCTGCGCCTCACGGCGCGCGTGGCGCCCACGGAGGTCAACGCCCTGCGCGCCAGCCTGGGCGTGCGGCCGCTGCCCTTTCCCCTCGCGGGCGCGGCTGGCGGGCTGGTCCACGTGACGGGCCCGCTGGAGAAGCCCGTGTTCTCAGGTCTGTGCTGCTGCTCGAGCGGCCATGTGCGGGGGGTGGACGCAGATGACGACGGGGCTGCGGGAAGGGGAGGGAGCAGGCCATGCCTGCGCCGGCGCTGCAGCATGGAAGATCGACAGCATGCTGCCCGCTCCCTGCCGCGCTCCAGCGATGCATAGTTCACGGTAGAAGAGGCAATGCTCCAACAGCGTGCCCTGCCTCCCCCGCCGCCGACTGTCGCGCAGGCACGGTGCAGCTGGTGCCGGCGGGCCCGGGCGCGCTGGAGGACGCCGAGGAAAGCGCAGCCATGAACGCCCTGCAGGCCACGCCGGGGGCCCTGGGCGCCTTTGACCGCGTGCCACTGCGGGTGGGTGGGAAGGGGAGGGCGATGCCGGGGCTCTTGCCGGCATGCAGCGCGACCCTGGGGTTGGAAGGAGGGCGGCTGGCCGGGGTTTCTTGCACTGTGTGGCTCCATCTCCCCCCATCCCCCCTCCTTCTCGAACAGTCTGCCCCCTGTTGACATCAGACACGTCACGCGCACATGCCCCTCATGTGATCACCCCTCCCCTCTGCCCCCAGCCCCATGTCAACAGTTCCAATCTCAATCCCCTTCCCTCTCCTCCCCAGTCCGCCGAGGCGGTGTTCAGCCTGGACACGGCGACGCAGCGGCTGGAGGTGCACGCTGTGCACGCTGCGCCCTGCGACGCCGGCGCCGTGCACGGACATGGCCACCTCTCGGTCTCCCCTGATGCGGAGGCCGACCCGGACGCCCTGGACGTGGACCTGCGCGGCTCCGGCATTGACGCCGGGCCCCTCCTCAAGCGCTTCCTGCCAGGTGACGCGGAGAGGGCGCTGGGCTGGGGCGAGGGTGGGGTTATGTCTGGGGCGGGGAGAAGGAAGGGCCTGCTTCATCGCCGCAGGGGGGGCACATCATCCTTTCGACGCGCCTTGCCATCCGCATGTGGCGGCGGAGCCAGAAGCGGCATATCCCTCGATTCGACCTGTGCCCCCATCTGCCCTTCCTTGTCCACCCATCCCGCCGCCCGTCCCCTTTTCCTCTTCCCCACTCCCAGGCGAGGCCTCGCTGCCCAGCAGCCTGTCCCTGGGCGCCGCCAGCTTCGAGGCGCGGATCCGGGGCTCCGCCCTCTCCCCCGCCACGCACGCCGACTTCCGCCTGCCGGCGCTGGAGGCCAGCGGCAGCCTGCGCAGCGGCAAGACCTCCTGCGCGCTGACCCTGGCGTCCCCCTACGCCGACGTGGTGGCGGAGGTGGGCCTGGTCCCCCCACCACCGGCGGCCTCGGTGGCCGCGGTGACGCAGCGCGCGGCTGCCGCGCTGGCCCGCCCCGCGCCCGACGCCGCCTCGCTGGCGGTGACGCTGCGCGGCCTGGACCTGCTGCCGCTGGTCAGCGACGAGCTGGCGGCGCGCCAGGTGGCGCGCGCGCAGCTGGGCACACCCCTGCGCCTGCGCCTGAGCGGGGCGGGGAGCCTGAAGGGCGCCGTTCGGGGGGGTGAGGCGGGGCGCGCCGCGGCCATGGCCGAGGCCGGCCTGGGAGGCTGGGCTGCTGGCGAGGATGATGCCAAGGATGAGAGTGGCGACGCCGAGCTCCCGCACCCCGCGGCCGAGACGCCGGCCTGGGAGTTCACGGGCGGCCTGGGGCTGGAGGCGCTGCGCCTGAACCAGCTGCGCCTGTTCAAGCGCCTGGACGCGCGGGTGGCCTTCTCGCCGCACGGCGTGCGGCTGGAGGGGCGTGGCGCGCGCGCCGACGAGGCGCTGGACGTCGACCTGAGCCTGCCCTCCCTGCTCCGCCAGCTGGCGCGCCGCCACGGCGACTCGGGGGCGACTGGTGTGGAGGTCGGACAGACGGTGGGCGGAGGGACGGGCGCGGGAGCAGATGACGTGCCGAAAACCCCAGCCCTCAGCCCGGAGGACCCCGTCACCGCCCCGAATGCCGAGGCCGGCGCCGCCTCGGAACCCCTCGACGCAGCACCGGACCGCCTGGCTACCGCCGACCCTCAGACGGCGGGCCCGAACATGCCGGCATCAGCCCCCAGCGCTGCAGCTGTCGCCCCCGGGGGCGCGGCCGCCCCCCCCCCGGCCGCGGAAAAGCCGCGGGGCGGTCACTTTTACCTGCGCGGCGGCCCGCTGGTGGTCAGCGGCGACGCCGAGGCGGACGGGTCCCGCCTGGGGTTCAAGGTCCAGGGCCTGAAGTTGGACGAGCTGGAGATCGCCTCGCTCAGGGGGGACCTCCAGGAGGCCTCCGCCTCGCTCAACTTTGCCAGCCAGGTGCAGGCGTGGTGGCGACGGAGTGGCTGGAAAGGGTGGCTGGGATGCTCCTGGCCTGGGGTGTGGCCGGCGTCAGGGGGGAGGGGTTGCTCAGGACTCGAGGGCTGACCGAGCACTTGCCTCTCCTTCCTAGGATGCATGCCGCGGGCCTGTGCGCCACTCCTATTGTGTCCTGCAGGCAATTGCAACCCTCAGACTCCCGCCATCGCCTGACCTCCAGACCATCGAATGCCCCCTCGCCCCCCTCTTCCCCCACATCCCCCCCCAGACCGGGAGCGGGAAGCTGCAGCTGGCGGGCCCGCGCTTCAGCGGCGTGCGGGGCGAGTCGCTGGCCTGCAGCCTGCGCTGGGAGCGGGACATTGTGCAGCTGGAGCGAGCCTGCCTGGCTCAGGCCGCCAGCCGGTACGAGGTGCAGGGCGAGTACATCCTGCCCCCCGGCGCAGCGCTGCCGCGCTGCGCGGGGGACCTGCTGGCACGGCGCGGCGGCCAGGGTGGGACTGGCGTGGGCGCGGGCGCGGGCGCCTCCCCCGCGCCGCGCGGTCTGGCGGGGGGCAAATGGCGCGTGCAGGTCAACGTCCCCGCCGCCGACATGCAGGAGATCCTGCCCGCGGCGCGCGTGCTGCAGAACGCCACCGGCCTGCGCCCCTCCGACTACGAGCGCTGCAAGGCCGACTTCCTGGCCGCGATGGCCAGTTCGGGCCTCTCCGCGCGTGGCGGCCTGGGCGCCGCGCTGCCCGGCTGGGGCGGCGCGGCGGGCGGGGAGGACGGGGGTGTCGCCGCCGCGCGCGACGGCGGCGACGGCGGCGGCGCGCCGACCGGCCCGTCGCCGTTGGGGACGCTGGGTTCTGGCGCCCCCGACGGCCACGCGCCGCCGGCAGGCGGGCAGCTGCCGGGCCTGCAGGACGTGGCGGGGCGGTGGCGCGGCCGGGCGCAGGTCTACGGCTCCTCCCACGGCTCGCTTCGCGCCGAGTTCGACGTGCGCGGCGACGGCTGGCGCTGGGGGCCCTGGGCCCTGGACTCGGCCACCGCGGTGGGCAGCTACCACTCCGAGGAGGGCCTGCACCTGCAGGAGGTGGGCTGCTTGGGAGAAGGAGCGAGGGGATGGGGGGAGGGGGTGCGGAGTAACGGGGGGGTGGAGGTTGGTAATGGGGTTGAAGAGTGGTAGTGATGTTGGGGGAGGTTGCATCAGTGAGGGCGGGAACGAGTGGGCGATGCCTGGGTAGGCGGGCGGCCAGAGCAGGAAGAGGAACAACGACGATGCAAAACCGCCGCGTGCCTCCCACGGGCGGGCCTGTGGACGTCTCGAGCGTCGGGACCTCCCAGCACCATCGTCCAAACTCAACCCCCCCCCCCCCCCCCCCCCCCCCAAACCCCCCC